CCCCCGTTCTGTCCTTGTCCTCCCTGCTGATTAAGACGGTCCCAGCTCCCAACACTGGACCCCAGCCCTGTTTTGAGCATTTACTATAAGCCCAGCCCTGGCCCGAATGCTTCTTCTGCCCTTTCTCCCTTGTCTCCACAGCACCCGGATGAGGAAGGCGCGAGTCTGGAGGAGAAGGACTCCGAGGCCCCGCCTTGTCCACAGGTAGCGAGGGCTGGGGCGGGAGAACCAAGTCTGCCCCCTGGGGGTCACCCTGATGCGCTGAGCTGGACGCTCTGGTCAGGGCCTCTCTGCTTCTGGCCACACAGCACCGGGTTTGTGTTGTGTCTGCGGTCCCTACCTGGCCATGCCTGGGACTGCAGCCATGTGGCTGTGTCCCCTCCCCCTGCCCCCTGCCAAGTTGCTGAGTCCAGGAGCGCCTCACCTCTCCCTCAGGCCCCTACTCTGCAGACACTGAAGAGGCTGGGGAGTGCTCCCTGGGTCCAGGTGGCTGCCAAGACAGACTGCTTAAATGGGGGCTGTGTGCAGAGTAGGCCCAGCACCAGGCACATAGTAGGTGCTCCCCAAGTCCCCCCCCCATCTCAGTGGTACTTTGTGCGTCCTCCAAGCCCAGAGCCTCCATCTGAAGGTGGGGGCGGGGAGAGACCTGCCACCTGGCTGTAGCTCACCAGGAACATGGCTGTGCTTCGGACACAGCTGCTCTCGGCCTATTCCTGGCCATAATGGGACCTAGCACTCGGCACCACTGGGGTGACAGGAAGGCTCCTGCTCTGTCACCCATACAGCCCTCCCCAAGGAGGGTGAGCTTCTCGGCACTGGCGTTTGCTGCCATGTGACATCTTGGGTGCTGTGCCATCTGTGCCTCAGATGGATGGGAAGGACCTGCGACAGCCCCATTACAGATGAGGAAACTGAGACTCAAATCCACTAGGCATTGCTGGGGACCTCACATGCAAACGTTAGGAGAAATGACAGTGAAGCCTCCACTCCAGAGCCCGTGCTTTCACCGTGGTGTGTGAAGCCCTGAGCCCGGGGGGGACTGGGGAGGCCTCCCTGGTGGTCTTTCCCTGAGGCTTTGTGTGTGTGTGTGTGTGTGTGTGTGTGTGTGTGTACCAGGAATTGAACCCAGGGGCACTTAACCACTGAGCCACATCCCCAACCTTTTTTAATTTTTTTATTTTGAGACAGAATCTCGCTAAGTTGCTTTTACAACCTCACTAAATTGCTGACGCTGGTTTTAAACTTGTGATCCTCCTGCCTCAGCCTCCCAAGCCTCTGGGATTATAGGCGTGCATCACGGCGCCCCACCCTGAGACTTTTCTTAATTGGTCTTTTAATGAGCTCAGTGCATGGACATGACATCAGAGATGCAGGGAGAGCCAGCTTGCTCCTGCCCTTGCCCTCTAGCTGCCCCTGGACTAGTCAGGGAGGTCAGGAGACCACAGGCAGCTCAGGGAGGAAGACATGGTCCTGCATCCCAGGGGCCACTGGGGTGCTGCAGGCTGGACTGTCAAAAGGGAGGTAGGGGGTCAGAGAGTCTCCAGCCTCAGCTCAGGGGTCCCGGGGAGGCTCAGGAATGGTGGCCGGGGCTGCCTAGCTCCTCTCTAAGACGTCCTTGGTGCAGCGTCCAAAGCCTCCTCTCTGGGGGGCTGCAGGACTGCACCCACCTCCCGCCTTCGCACATGCCGCTCATGCTGCTCCCTGCCTGGGTGCTGTTTCCTTGCCTCTTCACCCACCAAACACCCGCTCATTGTTCAAGCCTTCGCTTGGGTGTCCTGTCCTCAGACCTCCCCAAACACCACACCCCCAGCTCGCGATGCTCCCCTTCTGAGCTTGGCAGTTTTGCTTCCCTCCATCTGTCACGCTGGGCTGTCATTTCCCCCTACAAAACATGAGCTCCACAGGGGCAGGACCCCAGCCTTCTTCATCTGTGTGCCTCTGGCCCTGGCCCAGGCCTGACACGAAGGAGGGGCTCGGCTCAGCGGATGGCTGGTCATGGCTCCGACGAGGAGCATCTGAGAAACACAGGGAGGCCGTGGGACAGCGGGTAGATGATGGGTGAATGATGGGTGACGGACAGATGACCGATGGTGGCTACACGGACGCTGGAAGAGTAGAGGGTGCTGCGGGGTGTGCTGGCGGGCTATGGATGGAGAATGTCCCGGGGATGAGTTAACGCCGGGTGGTGAATGGGAAAGGAGTGCTGGGACGATGGTGGATGGATGAGCAGATGTTGAGCAGGCGGAGGAGGATCCATACGTGATGGATGGAGAGGTGTTGAATAAATAGAAGCTGGATTGGGAGTAGGGGTCGGTCGGATGGTGGATGCTGAACGGATGAGAGGGTGGATGACGTTGGATGGTCCGATGGACACTCGGACCCACTGACGCTGGGTGTGAGATACAAGTTGGATGGATGGATGACAGTGGGACAGATGAGAGTGGACAGACAGATGGACCCTAGGGAAGAACCTGGGTTAATCTGTATTCTTTCTCATCTCCAGTTCCAACCAGAGGAGCGTGAGGCATCAGAACCAGGCAAAGGCCAAGATTTACTGACTGACCAGAAGCAGGCAGACCCGGTAGTTGGGTGATGGGTGTGGGCATGGGCACAGGGGAGTGGAAGGGAAGGAAATCAGGTGGGAAACCAGGTCATCTGTGCACATGGTGGGGGTTTGGAAAGCTGGACAGCAGGGTGACTCTGGCTTGGAGACCTGGGAGTGGCCGGTCCCGGGGTTGGGAGCCCAGGGCTCTGTTTCTAACTTGCTGGGCTACCCTACAATGGTCGCTGCCTTTCCCCAGGCAAACGTGGTTTGACCCTGATGTTCTCTGAGGGCAAGGTCCTTCTGGTTCTGGGGGGCTGGACCAGGCTGAGGAGCAGGGTGGGACATTTAAGAGCCAAAGAAGTGTTGAGGAGGGCTGGGTCAGCTGGGCCTGGAGGGTCTCCAGGTCCTGGGGGAAGGGACATGTGATCAGGGGGGTGGGGTGGGGCCTGTGAGGCCGCTCTGGGGCCAGGCTGCAGCTGGAGCGTCCTGCTCTGCCCCACCCCTCCCCACAACCTGCCAAACAGATGATTCTCATCACCCTCAGCCTCCAGAGGGCTGAGATCAGAGCAGAGGGGCAGAGGGCAGGCGACACACTGTTCAGGGCTGTTTTCCTGGTCCTGCTCTTCCCTGGGCTGCCTCCTGAAAAGCCAGGTGTGACAGGAGAGCATCTGTCTGGCAGCCTGGAGCCCGAGTCTGGCCCTGCTGCTTGGGAGCTGGGGGATCTGTGCACCCCTCCCTGTGCAGAAGAGGAACAGGCAGGGGTCATCCCAGGTCACATAGCCAGTCAATGGCTGGACTTGAACTAGAACCCAGGCTCAAGAGCCCACCCCGTGTTCCCTCTGCCCCTGCCCTCCCGCTCAGCTCTCCCTGATGTGCGTGCTCCTTGCTAGCAGCTTGCTGGGCCAGTCTTCCCTCTGTGAGATGGGGATGGGGCAGGGGACTCTGATCACTATCTGGGCTCTGACAACGCTGCTCTTCCTCTTTTGGAGTAATTTCTTCATACTTCCTGAAGCCACAGCTTTGTGAACAAAGAGGAAATAGCAATAGTGGGGGACCCTCTGGTTTCCCAGCCACGTGGATAACCTCCCAGCCAGCCCCCAGCAGCCCTGACTGCGCAGACAGACGTGCTGACCACTCTATTGGGTCTTCATCTGTGCGCTCCCTCGCGCACATCTGTGCGCAGGGCTGGGTCAGCCGGAGCTGGAGTGCCACCAGGCCGTTCCAAGCTGGTGCTCAGGGCCGCGATGGGGCACGGTAGCCAGGTGGGGCACTCTGTCCTCCAAAGCCTTGCTGGCCTCTGCTCAGAGGCTTCCAGCTCTGCTTCCAGGGAGCGTGGACTCCAGCTGGCGGGGGCACTCGGCCTCTGATCCCGACTCCTGGGATCTGGGGGGCTGGACCAGGCTGTCGGGGAAACGGGAGTATGCACATTCAAGGTCAGCTGGGGCAACTTAGCAAAACTCAAAACCAAAAAGCGTCAGGGATGTGGCTCAGTGGTCGAGCACTGGCCTAGCACGCGCAGGGCCCTGGGCTCGATCCCCAGCCCTGCAACCAAACCAAAGGCCAAAGGAAAGCCCAGAAAATCTGTGTACCTACTGTATGCCCAGCTCCATGCTCAGTGCACGGTGCGCCTGACCACAGTACACGTAGCTCTGCCCCACCCCTGCCCATAACCATGTGACTTTGGGCCAGTCCCTCTGCTTCCCTGGGGTCTGTTTCCCCAACAGGGAAGAGTTCAAAGGGGAACATTTGGGGGCTCTGCCAGAGGTGTCTGCAGGTGTCTGTTCTGTGACTCATTCCTTTCATGTAACCTGGGGTCACAAATCTACTGCCTGATGGCTAGGCAGGTGACAGGAGTAGGGGCTGGGGGACACTTGTATGACCCCTTAGCTCCAGACATTGTTGCTCTGAGGAAGAGGAGCCTAGAGTTCGGCACAGATTTAACGGTCTCTGCGTCTCTAGAACCTAATGCGAAACAGTCTGCCCACATCTCTCGGGGTGGACGCGTGCGTCTGGGACACGTAACCCTCCCCTTGGCAACCTGGGGTTTGACTCTAGGGTGTGGGGTGCACATCCCCAGGATGCTGAGCCCCAGGGGTCCTGTCTGTCAAACACAGTGAGGTGTGAACCAGCTGGAAGCTTCTCTCCCGGGCAGTTCTGGGAGGGGAGAATGACGGGAACGCTGGGCTTTTGAGGTGGCAGAACGGGCAGGGGAGGCTGTGGCCAGGGATGCCCCCATCCTGCCAAAGGGACATGTGGCCAACACTGGACCCTGTTTGACAGGCAGACAAGAGGCCAGCAGAGGGCAAGGCTGGGAGCCCACTCAAGGGCCGACTGGTGACCTCATGGCGGATGCCCGGGGACCGACCCACGCTGTTCAATCCGTTCCTGCTGTCTCTGGGGGTCCTCAGGTGGCAAAGGGTAGGCTGGTTCCACGGGGCTGGAGGGGTGAGGGTGGCAGAGGAGGGAGGGCAGGGAGGAGACTGATGTCAGTCCCAGAATAGTGTGGGGGCTAAGCAGGGATTGGGGCCCCACACAGACAGAGCTCCCAAGCTCCTGACAGGCTCTGCCAGGTGGGCTTTCTTGCCTCCAGGGCAGGGTGGGGGCTCTTTTTGGCTTTTGGGGTGAGGACAACCAAACAGCCCAGTGACTGAGAGCTTCTCCTTGGTAGCTCCCCCCAGCCCTGTGCCAGGGGAGCCCGGCTGGGGAGAGGAAAAGGCGGGGGAGGCCTGCAAGGGGCTCTGGGATTGCAAAGTGTGCCTGGGTCTGAGCCAGTTTCACAAACATCTGGCGTTACGTAACCATCCCCTGCCCAGAGAGGCCTGTAAACACTCTGGCCTCTGGTTGGGGCTTCCTCAAGGGCAGAGGGGGAGGCATCTAGGACCTGTACCCTTGGCTTCTGCTGCATCTCTAGGGGCTGCAGGCTTGCCCATGGCATCTCCTTTATTGGTGACAGGCCAACTCTTGTACTTTGTATAGTCGGCCCTGGCGCTAGCACTAATCCAGGTACCTTAGAGACAGTGTACCCATTTTATAGATGAAGGGACTGAGGCTTAGAGACGTGAGCTGATTGACCTGAAGTCACACAGTTGGGTGTCCTGGAGCTGATTTTCCGCTTCCCATGTGAGATAAGGATTGCGGCCAAATTTACGGAGCCCTGGTTGCCACATCGTGGGGAAAATCTGCCGAGAATCTCAGGGCTCAGGGAGGGCTCTGGGAGATCCAGAGGCACAGAGGTGGGGGGGTCATCCATTTCTCATCCACATCATTATTCCTCTTTAGGGGATCAGGGCACCAAGGGCAACTGGGCAAACATAGTGATCCAGGTAGGGTGGTGGTACCTTTGAGGCAGGGGCAGGAATTACCTTATCAGACTACTAAGGTCACCAACACACAGCAGGTCTGCCAGGAGGGGACACGTTCGTCCTCGGTGGGAGAAGGAGGAGAGAAGTTGAGGACAGCACCCTGGGGTAATGATGATGGTGATGGTCACCATCAATGACTGTGTACCTACTGTATGCCCAGCTCCATGCTCAGTGCACGGTGCGCCTGACCACACTTGATGCTCACCACCAGTCGCAGTTAGACACATGTTGTCCATTTTGCGGATGAGGAAATAAAGCACAGAGGAAAGTCACGTGTTCCAGGTCACAAAAGGGCAAGTGGCAGAGCTGGGATTCAAACCCTGCTCTGGCTGATCTCAGAGCTGGATGTCTGCAAACCTGCCCGGCACCTGCTGGTTTCCCTGAGTCCTCACTTGCTGTGCGCTCTGGCCCGTGGCCCCCTTCTCTGAGCCTTACCTTATGACCCTCAATGGAGCAGTGGGTTGAGGCCGGAATGCCTGAGTTTGGGGCTGTGGTCTTTGCCATCTTAAAAACTCACTCCTGGCGTTGCCAGTTGTGTTTGGCTGGCCTGGGCCGTGGCTTCTTTATTTGGTGTTTATCCATTTAACCAGCCTTCCCTGAGGAGGCACTGGGGGCCAAGGCCTGCACACTCCATCCCCGCCCACGGGGAGAACAGCAAGGTGAGGTCCCTGAAAGGTAACTGTTTAGAACACAGCATGGCCATGACCTTGGTGGAGGGATGTGCACAGGCAGGGGCACAGGTCTGGGCGGCAGAGGCAGGGATCGCTCTGGAGGGAGCACGTGGCAAGGAGTTTCTAAGTTTAACTGGACACTCTGGCTCCCTTTGGCCTGAGGCATGAAGGGTGAAGAGAATAGTCCAGGCAGACATTCAGGGGGTGAGGAGAGAGGAAATGAGTGTGTGCACGCGTGCATGTGTGTGGACGACAGGGTGGGAAGTATTCCAGACATGGCAGCCAGGAGGTACAAAGGAGCTGGTTTACCCCAGGAGTTTCCAGCAGTACGCCATTATGGACCCTGAATGTGAACGTACCCGTAAGAGGGGGACAGTAGGTGGGCCTGGCTGTGAAGACTCCCCAGGTGAGAAGGTACAGCTGGTCTGTTAGTGTGCATTAAGTGAGGAAAGACTGTGCAGTGGAGTGCTCTGGTCACTGGGTTGAGGGTACTAGAAGGTGAATCCCTCACCAGAAAACCAGAGTGTGGGGCTGGTGCTGCTAGTGCCCCAGGCCATGGGCCAGGCCCCTCGGGGTAGGTGGGGTCTTTGGTCTGTTTGTTCCTCACTCTCTCGAGGCCTGAGGTCCTGAGTAAAGTATAGAGGAGAGTGGGAAGCCACACAGGTGCCCGAAGGCCAGTGTCTAGAGTGAGGTGGACTTATCCTCGGCCTTATTCTTCATGGTGGGGAGACTCCTAGCAGAAAATGCTGAGAAAGAACAGCAGGTCTCTGGACCTCCATTTCTTTATCTGTGAAATGGGGATAATTTCTTTTAAAATCTTTTTTATTTCATTTTAAGTGGATACAATACCTTTATTTTATTTATTTTTATATGTTACTGAGGATTGAACCCAGTGCCTCACATGTGCTAGAGAAGCACTTTTTCCACTGAGCTACAACCTCAGCCCCACAAGGCAATCATTTTTAACCCCAAGTCGTCAGATGAATCCAAATGGTGGGTAATCCAGGCTCCCTTGCCTCCCATGCCTCCCACCTATGGAGGGCTAAGTAGGGATCAAGAGGTTGTTTCACATGCTTTACTTGGATTAAAGCTTAATCCTCATCTCAACCAGATGAGGTAATAGCATTAGTCCATTTACAACGGGTGAAACTGAGGCAGAGTCCAGTGCCTTTCTTCAGGTAACAGTTTGGCTATGCTACACAGGCTACCAGTAGCCAAGAAATTCCTCCAAGGACTCCTCATCTGCAGGCCTCAGATGGGATCTGCAGCCAAAGAGCCTTTAACTGTCAAGAGCTCTGGGAACATGATCGAGGGGTGTACACCCACCCGCAAGAACCAAAACTGAGAAGGATCTGCTTGGCAGGAGGGAGCATTTGGGGAAGCCTTTACCATTCCAGAACTCAGTCTCGCGCCATCTTACCTACTAACAATTCTGTGTCTTACTTTGTGACCTTGGGCAAGTTGGCCCACCTCTTTAAGCTTCCGTTTTCTCATTAGTAAAATGGAGACAAGGAGCACTCCCCTTCAGGTCTACGGTGAGGACAAAAGTCGTTCACAAGGTAACAGGTGTGCCCCTCGAGTCGTTAGGGCTAAATGCTTCGCCCATGTCCCCATCCAATCAAGGCGCGGAGACCTGGTTGGCCCAACGCCCCTAGCTGGGGGCTAGGGCTGGGGGTAGCCAGGGCGGCGAGGAGGCCACCCCCAGCTCCCGCCCCGAGCAGTGGCTGGACGCAGTCACCTGCACGCCGGGCTCTTCCTTCCGCCAGGCAACCGGCTGCGGAGCCGGACCCGCCCTCCGTGGCTCCCTGCCGCCGCCCCCATCCGCCCTCCGGGTCTGCCGCCCCCTGCCGCCCCCGCGCGCCCGTCCCTTCGGGCAGGCCCCGCCCCCGGACCCGTCTCGCGCCCCCATTGGTCCGCTCGCGCCCCCGCCGCTGTTTGTCCCGGCGTTCCCGCCGCCCATTGGCCCGCCCGGGTCCTCCCAGGAAGTTTGAAAAAAAAAAGTTTTATGGGCGGATGGAAGGGGCCGGGACTGCGCTGGGGAAGGGCAGGGCTGGAGGAGCGGCGGGCGCCGGCCGAGAGGGGCGGCGGCGGCGGGGTCCCCGCGCCGCGGAGCCCGGACCGAGAGCCCCTTCCACTGTCCCGCCGCCTGGTCCCGCCGTCCCGGGGCGCCGCCATGACGGTGAGTGCCCCGCGCCCCGTTGTCTGCGCGCCGCCGCCGAGGCGGAGCCCCTCCGCTCCTCACCCGGGCAGCCCCCTCCTCACTTCCCGGAGTTGGGAGGTGGTGTCCGCCGCCAGACCTGCCTCCGCGCCCCATCCCCTCGTTACCCTAGGAGCCCAGGCGACCCCAAGGAGCTGGGAGCTCCCCGTCCCCGGCACCCCGCTCGCCTTGACGGGACCAGTGGCGGGCGCACTCGAGCGAGCCTGTCCCACCTTCCCTGCGACTCCCTAGAAGACCCGACTTCCTGGGGTTGCCAGGGGCTCCGGCCCGTGAGGAGTGCAGACGGGCCTGGCCTGGGTTGGGTTGTCTCCAGGCTGCTTGACTGGGTCGCACAGACCTGGCCTGCAAAGGCTGGCCACCCGTGTGCGCGCTGGCCCGAGATTAGGAGGGCGAGAAGGGCGGCCGGCCCCACCCCACGGCCTGGGAGCCATTCTGTGGCTCTGAAGCTGCGGGATAACATACTTTCCCCCGCTTGGGCTCTGGGGCCTTGAGTGGGGCGACACTGCAGGTGGGGCGGTGGGCATGATGGCAGGAGGTTGTATTTCTCTGGGGGATAAGGTCTACTCAGGCGCTGTCAGTACCTGCGCCCTAACGATCATGTAGAGCCTCATAACTGAATTCATTGTTCCTATTTCACAGCAAGATAAACTGAGGCTTGGGAGGGCCTTGGTGAGTTGCCTGAGGGTTGCCCCTAATGTAAGGGAAGAAGTGCCCCTTTCCAGATCAGTCTGGCCAACTGAACATGATGTGCTGGAAGGGAGGGGTGGAGCTGCTTTTGATTTCTGGCTAGTGCATTAGGGAGGCTCCAGAGTTTGGTGACCCTCTTGGGGTTAGGATGAGCAGGGTGTGTGTGTATGTGTATGTGTGTATATATATATATATATATGCACACAAAGCACATGCGCATTCTACCTTCAAGTGAGTGAAGTCCTAGTGAGGAGTGGGCTGGGCTGATGGAGGCGGGGCCCATTGTGGCCCCTGCCCCTGTGAGCGGGATGACCTGGCGCTGCTGCCTGGACTTCCTCGGCCTCTGCACATCCTGCCACCTCCCTGCTGGCCCTTCCTGTCGACAGCAGCCTCCCCTTCCCTGTCAGGGAGCAGAGGGGGACGTGGGGGGAGGAGCTGAGTCAGTGTCCTGGGGCCAGGGGGAGGTGTTTACACTGCCCACTGGGTGCCTGCCAGCCCCTGCACCGGGTGCTTTCACCCTACCAGATGGAGCCTTTAAGGTCTGCGGTGTGGTCCCCATCAGACAGCTAAGAGAGCTAAGTTGTGGAGAGGTGAAGCAGCATGCCTGCGGTCCCTCTATGGCTGGGCCACAGTTTGTGTCCAGTTCTGTCCCATTTTTTTTTCCTAGGGAGAGATAAGAGATGTGTGTGGTTGCAGTTCCTGCGCTGCACCCGCTGAGCAAGAGTAGCTGACAGTTCCTCCCCGCTAGTGGGAGGAGGGCCTCGGGAGGGAGATTCCTGTGATTCTAGAACTTTGTCAGGTGATGGACTGGGGAGGAGGGCCGCGTTATGGGGGAGGGGCATGTGGGTGAAGGCTGGTGCTGGGGATGCTGAGAGCGTAGAGGAGGGCTGGCAAGAGCACCTGGAGGCTCAGGAAAGCCTGGTCGTGGGAAAGGGGAGCCATCACAGGTTTGGGAGCAGAGACAGGCTCCTAGTCACCAATCTGGGGCTCAAGTGCTCACCTGGCTGCCATTTGGATCTGAGCCTGCTCCAAGCTGCCCCTCCTGTGCCTGACCCATCTCCCTGGCCCCCACCCCTGACCGAGAAGAAGGCACAGTACTGAGGGCAGGTACCTGCTCAGAGGCTGTAGGAGCTGGTGGTCTGGCGCTGGACCTGGGGTCGGAATCCTTGTCTGCCACTCTTGCCTTAGTCCCAGCACAGCTTTGCGAGGAGCCTGGCTCCCCAGCCATCTTTGGGCGTCAAGTTATATGCTTGTTCTCTTGTTTATGGTCTGCCACTCAAACCCGCCAAGGCAGGGGCTACAGCTCTTGTTCCCAGCTGGCTTCCTGCCCTAGAACAGTACCTGGTGCTTAAAAAAAAAAAGGGTGCTTTTTGTTTTTCCTGCAAAGACTCTTTGAGCTCCAGTGGGGTCTGGGTGAGCAGCCCACCAGGGGGAGAAGTAAAGGTCTTAAGACAATCTTGACACAGTGGGGCCTCTGTAAGGGGCTGTGGATGAGCGGCTGGTGGGTGGTAAGTATGGGGAAGGGGGCCTCAGAGGTGACAATTAGGACAACTCTTGAGTCACCAGTGGGGACTTGCTTGGCCGGCAGACGGGGGCACCTGGTATTTCAGGCTGAGGACAGGGGCAGGTGTGAAGGGCTTGGTGGCCTGGCATGATGTGGGCGCCGAGGCTGGGGGAGCCAGGTTGGGACAGCAGGTGGAGGCTTTTGTCACATCCTGAGGCAGTTACACTTCGTTTTGGAGACACCTGGAACCAACCCTGCAGGTCTTAAGCAGCCCTATGACACTAGGCCTCTGTGAGTGAGCAGTGTGCTTAGAGGGGTCCGTGGCCTTGGTCCAGGCAGGAGGCAAGGCTGACCGGTGGCCGGGGTCTGGGAGGACAGCCACAGGAGCCTGTGGCTACTTCCGAAAGAACAACGGGAGCACTGGGCATCCTGCAAGTGCCAAAGGGTGACTGGCCGCAGAGCCAGGGCAAAACAGGAGAAATGGAGTTGGCCGTACCTTTTGAACCTGGCCCTAGGTTTCTGTGCCAGAGATTTAAAAAACTTGCCTTGGCTGCCTCCTTTCTCGCAGGTCGCCGTGCTAGGTCGTGCCTGACATGGCTGTACTGGTCTGTACTGATCTCTCAAGGGTCACCAGGCTGCTCTGTCTGTGGCAGGTTCCGGCCTCTTGGAAGGCTGGGGGAGGGCAGGACCCTAGGTCACTTGCCATATCAGGCATCCGGGGCTCCAAGAGGGATGTGTCCTAGAAAGGTCACAGCTGTTCCACTTTCCAGGCAACCCTCAGAGCCCCTGCCTGTCATTGCAGTGGGGGGGATCCTTGGGTCCCATTGGCTGCTCAGCCCACCCAGGGGTTCTCCCCTGGGGCTTTCCCCTGGATCAGCTCCATGGGCCCCGCCCTGAAGCACAGGAATTTAGGCCGGGGAGGCAGAAGAGGTGTGATTGGCAGCTTTTCCTGAGGCCTGCTGTGGCCAGGCCCTGTGGCAGGCCCCTAGCAGGGCCGTGGAGGGTCTGAAGGGAAGTAGAAGTGTGGTCACTGGTTTTCAGGCTTGGTTGGGACAGGTGGCTGATGGGGCAGGCAGAACACAGAGCAGACAGGACAAAGCAGCCCTGGGGCTTCCTGGCTCAGAGCAGAGCCTGTCTCCTTGCTTAGACAGGTAGCAGGGTGAGGCCACCAGCCTTTGAGGCCCCTGACCATGGCCATGGATAATTCTGGATGTCCAGGCTGCTGGCCCAAGCCCCTCTCAGCCAGCTTCCTCCACCTGAGGAGAACAGGGCTCCCGGGGAGTAGGACGGGTCAGGAGAGGTGGCCAGGTCAGGTGGCTCTGGTTTCCAGCTGTCGCCGCCCACCCCACAGAGCCATGCCACCCGGCTCCCTCCAGGCAACCAGATACCTCGGCTGGTAAGCTGCGATGCAGGTGCTGATAGGTGGGCTCAGAGCCATGGCAACAGGTGGCTGCCTCCTCCCTGTCTGCCAGCCTCCCAGCCTGTGGGACTGAGACTGCAGAGGGACCAGGACGTAAACAAGAGAGGACCCCTACAGGCAGGGACGGGCTGGAGGCTGCACCCTTCACGTGGACATGGTCAGGGATATGCCCGGATGTGCAGCTTCTTCCTGTAGGCCTGAGTGGGGTATCTAGCTGCAGGCTCCCCGGGGAGCATGCTGCAGCTGGGAGCCCCCCGGCCCCGGGGTCGTGCCCCACTGGGCAGCACCTGGCAGGTAGGGCTTGCCAGGACTGAGGTGCTGGGCCTTCCCAAAGAGACCTGGGGACCAGAGGGTTTCTGACCCCAGCCTGGGACTGCTCTGTCTTTAAGGGGCTCCAATAGATGAGTAGAGGGTGGGACTAGGGGGACCCCAGAGGGTCGGAGCAAGGGGTGGGCAGAGCTTTAAGGTGCACACCTGGGCTGCCTCAGCCTTGTCAGAGAGGAAGGAACAGCTGGCTCCATTGTTGCTCTGTGTTGTCCTCTGAGCCCCTGGGAGACTCTACAGGCAGAGTCCCCTCGCCCCTTCTTTCCCCATCCTGGGTTAGGAAGGCTGTGGCAGGGGAGCTTGGACATGGGTGGTGTGTATCGGCCACTGGCCACTCCCTGGGCTCTCGTGCCAGGTGTTGGGGAAGGGGCCAGGCTGCCTCAGAGGTGGGGAGCCCACCTGCATGTGGGGTGGGTGCCTGGGCCCTCAGCCCTCTCCTGGTTGCTCAAGACCTCAACCTTACCGGGGTTGGGGCGGTGGGTGTAGTACCCTGTCCCCCCCAGCCCGGGGGCTTCTTGTTGGGCCTGACCCCCTGCCTCCTCACCCCCCACAGCCCGACCTGCTCAACTTCAAGAAGGGATGGATGTCGATCTTGGATGAGCCTGGAGAGGTAGGGGGGCCGGGCGGGGGAGAGGCTGGCTTGGGCTTCTTCAGGGCCTCCCTGTCTTCCCAGCCCTCTAGAGCCCCCGCCTCTGGGGGTGGGAGTGGGGCCCAGAGCGAAAACCCTGAGGGTACATTTCCTGTCCAGTGGAGAAGAGGGCCTGGGTCGTGCCGATGGGAGGAGTGGGCACTGTCCTCCTGGATGATCTGCAGTATGTGGGTCACCCGGAGTGGAGGGAGTAGAGGCCTCCTGGTGCACACACCAGGCCCCATCCTCTGGTCTCACCAGGGGCTGCTTGTCCTCCACCCTCACAGTAACTGACTGGGACTCCGCGGGGTCAGGCAGGAAGGTCCACAGAGATCGCGGGGCCTGACACATGCAGATCCCCAAGACTCAGCCGTAGGGTGGGGCTCAGCACAGCTCAGGAGTCTCACCCACCTGGGGCCCCGCTGGTGGAGCCAGAGCCTTCTCTAGGCCTCAGCAGCTCCGTCTGGGATATACCCGTGATGGGAACTGAGTGGACACAGAGGCACAGAGATAAGCGTGGACAAGTCCCCACAGCCCTGGCACCTACTGGGGTCTCAGCTGATGACCCCTGCCTTTTTCTGTCATATCTGTCTTTGGAACCAGAGAGGACAGTGACCATTTCACCAGCTCTGCCCTTTCGGCTGCCAGGCCTGCCTGGGAGTGAGAGCTGGCTCCCCGCCACCCAGCCTGGCGAGGGACACAGCCTACCCCAGTCTGCATGCTCCTGCGGCTCGGGGCTGCCTGCAGCCCGCATGCCGGGCAGGGCTCCGGGCCAGGGGGGACCTCATTGTGTTTCCTGCCCACATGCTTTATTCCCTCCAGCCCACAGCCTCCCGTCCCTGCTGCCTGCCCGCTGTCCTCCGGTGGCTGCTTTCCAGACTCACACAAGGCCTGGCGCCCTGCCAGTGACCCTTCCTGGCTTCCCCACCCAGGGTCCCCGAGGGCAGGAGGATTATGGGCCCGCCCAGAACTGGCTGTTACTCATCCTCTTTCACAGGGTTTTGGAATGTCCGAGCTGGCAGGGCCCTGGGAGCCCAGCCAGCCCGGTCCCTAGGTGCCCAGGCGGGAGAAGGCCCACCAGGGTGGTGGTCCCCTCCTCTCCTGGCAGCACCTTGGGCGGCCCGGCCTAGAACTCGGGACTGAGGCCCATGGCGCTCCTCCCTTCCATCTCAGAGCAGACCTGCAAGGACCAGAGCCCCGTTGCCACAGCACCTGCCGCTCTCAGAGAGGCAGCTGAAGTCCCACGTAGGGAGGACAGGGTGGCTGAGCCAGTGCCTCTTAGGACCACTCCCAACAACCTCGGCCAGGCCCGTGAGAAACACAGGGGGAGGTACTTCTCGCCTTGCCAAAGGCTTGGGGACTTCTTGGTAGCCCCAGAAGACTGAAGCTCAGAGAAGTGCAGACAGCTGCACAAAGGCACTCGGCCAACAAGGGCACAGGCACACCCCAGGTCCTTGGATGTGACACCCGAGTTCCCAGGAGATACTGAGTGGGAATAAGTGGGGAGGTCATCCCTGACACCCCTGAAAACTGACTGTGGCCCAGAGGAAAGGAAACTAAGTGCTTGAATCAGCACAGGTAGGGCTTGATGATGGGGAGCCCCAGGAGGGCTGGGGCCTGGGCGACACGCACTGACCCTGGCAGGACACGGACTGCCCGTGGCATTCCAGTAGAAAGGCCGAAGCCCAGAGTGTATCTCGTGCCCCTGCCCCTTACTATCATGTTTTGCCACCTGACCCTGGACTAGAGGAGATGGGCACCACAGAAAGATGCCCAAGTCATCACATATAGGTTGGCAGAGCTCACACGATGCCTGTGCCCAGCTCTCTGTCCCCTCCCCTGGGCCTCTTTCTCCTGTCTGGGAAGTCTTTGTCCCTGATCACGGTGTATGAAAAAAGCCTGGGTGATGTTCTGGTTGCACTTAGCCCCTGACTCCGCCAGGAAGTGGCCTTACCCAGGACACACCCCTCCCTCATCTGCACCTGGGAGGTGCTTGAGGCTCTGACTCTCTGACCCGGCTGCTTTCCCGGGTCAGCCAGCAGGATGGCATGCACACCCCCCTCGGTCCACCCTCCCTTTCTCACCTCCCCTCTCCCCGACAGTGGAGGAAGCACTGGTTCGTGCTGACAGATTCAAGCCTCAAGTATTACAGGGACTCCACAGCAGAAGAGGTGAGGCAACTGGGTGCCCACAGGCCCTAGCCAGGCTCGGTAGACTGGGACTCCCCAGGGCGCATGTGACCCTGCCGTGCCTTCTGCTCTAGGCAGATGAGCTGGACGGCGAGATCGACCTGCGCTCCTGCACGGACGTCACGGAGTACGCGGTGCAGCGCAACTATGGCTTCCAGATCCACGTGAGGCTGCGTGTGGCTGGGGGAGGTGGGGAGGTGGGCAGTGTGGTTGCCAGCCCCAGAGGAGGTGTTGGTATCAGACGTGACTCCCCCATTTATGCAGAGACCCTCTCCGCAGAGCCAGTGAAGCTTTGGTGCCAACACCTGGGCGTTCTGGGGAGAGCTTGGTGCCAGGGGCGGCTGCCCAGGCTCGTGGAGGACGTTTGCGCCCTCAGCAGACCCTTTGCTTATCACCTTAGACCCCCTTCAGGGAAGGAAGGGCCACCCTTCCTGGGTCAGCAGGGAGACTATGGGGTTGACCACGTGTTAACCTACTGTGGTGTCGATTGCAGACCAAGGATGCTGTCTATACCTTGTCGGCCATGACCTCAGGTATCCGGCGGAACTGGATCGAGGCTCTGAGGAAGACTGTGCGTCCAACTTCAGCGCCAGATGTCACCAAGTAAGTGCTGGGCTGGGCTGGGCAGGTGTCTCTACCCTCACATCTTGAGGAGTGGGATTCTGGGAACTCACCTGACAGCCTTGAGACTGAGCCTCCTGGGCCTCGGTACCTCTAGAACAAAATAGGGAGCTGAGCGTTGTGGCACACTCTGTAATTCCAGCGACTCGGAAGGCTGAGGCAGGAAGATCACAAGTTCAAAGCCAGCCTCAGCAGTTTACTAAAGCCCTAAGCAATTTAGCGAGAAACCCTCAAAAAATAAAAAGGGCTGGGGATTGGCTCAGTGGTGGAGCATCTCTGGGTTCAACCCCCAGCACCAAAACATAAGCTAGACAAGAACAGCGGGGGTTCTTGGCATTTGCCCAGAAACACTGAGGATTTGAAGTCTGACCTCTTCCCCTTCATGTCCCCCACATCCTGTAAGAGTGGGAAGGGGATTCAGCTCTTGAGAGAAGATGCATTGAGTCAGAGGTCCCTGCCAGGCAGCTCTTCCCTCTCTGCCTTGGGGGCCATACCTGCGCCTTTGTAGGGGAGAGACTGGGTCCTCTGGTGTCTGTGCAGTCCCCTCCCAGGTGGGGAGCCCCTGCTCCAGGCTGCCAGGGTAGAAGGGTGGGGTTCTTGTTACCTGGTGGCAGAGCCTTCTGTGGGGCCAGGTCTTGAAGCTGCTGGGCAGCAGGAAGAGAGCCTGCTATTGAAGAGGGCTGAGGTGAGTCCCCCAGCCTGGCCACACCCTGGCGGCTCAGCCTGGACCAATGACTTCCCATCTGAATTTCAGATTTGTCATCTGTCGTGTTGGGCTTTATGTCTGCACACGTGTGCAGATGTGCCCAGAGCCTTGGTAGACTCCCAGGTCCAGTGCAGCGGAGTTGTCATTCAGCATACAGGCTCATGGCCTTGACATAGCCACTCAAGACACGGTGGCTTAAGCCAGATAGCTGTTCACTCCATTCTCCAGATGAGCCCCAAGTGTGGAGTCTAGCCTGGTGGGCTCTCTGCAGCCTCTGTGCAGAGCTTGGGCTGTGGCTCAGAGGCCCTGCCAGGAGCCAGGATCCCCCAGCCCGGTAGAGGGAGCAGCTTCTTGCACCTGCTGGTGGAATGGAGTCTCGTGGCCAGGGGTTGCTGCAGGGGCTGCTGGGAAGTGTAGTTTTTGGCTGGGTCACAGTGTACCCCCGTACACTGTGGAAGAAAAGAACTGCCAGTCACTTAAAAGTCCCAAAGTCTTCACCCCATCTGTAGTGACCACAGGCACCCCTCTTCTGCTCCACCACAAGCCCCTTAAACCCTGGGCCTTGTCTTTTTTTTTTTTTAATATTTATTTTTTTGGGCTGGGGATGTGACTCAAGTGGTAGCGCACTTGCCTAGCACACGTGAGGCACTGGGTTTGATTCTCAGCACCACATAAAAACAAAGGTATTGTGTCCACATAAAACTAAAAAATAAATATTAAAAAAGTAATTATTTTTTAGTTGTAGTTGGACAGAATACCTTGATTTTATTTGTTTATTTGTATATGGTGCTGAGGATCAAACCCAAGCCCCAGCCCCAGCCCCTGGGCCTTGTCTTATATGTTTTTTTGTTTCTTGCTTTTGGTAATAATGCACTGGCCAGCATTTGCAGGGGCTTCCTGGTGCGTCCCACTCTTCTCCAAGTGCTCACGTCAGTGCTGTCCCGTGTTACAAATGGATAACGGAGGCTCCTCTGAGTGCAGAGCTGGGATGCCCCCAGGGTCTGTAAACAGTGAATCTCAGGTCCTCGGCCTCCAGGTTGGGTTGCTTACTCCCCTGGGCCTTGTCCAGCTCCTGGCACCTGAGCCGCCCTCTGAAAGTGCTCCTGGGGGACCGAGTGGGCAAGTCCCACCTGAGAGTGCCCTGCTGTGCCCTGCCTAGGCTCTCGGAGTGCAATAAAGAGAACACGCTGCACGGCTATGGCTCCCAGAAGGGCTCCCTGAAGGCTGGGGAGCAGCGGGCCGGCCCCCGGAAGGCGGATGGGCCTCGGCAGGCCCTGGACTATGTGGAGCTGTCCCCGTTGACTCAGGGCTCCCCGCAGCGGGCCCGCGCTCCCGACCGCCCGGCCAAGCAGGAGGAGCTGGAGCGGGACCTGGCCCAGCGCTCGGAGGAGCGCCGCAAGTGGTTTGAGGACAGCCGGGCCCCCGAGGTGCCCGCCGGCGAGGGGCCGCGCAGGAGCCTGGGCGCCCCGCTGACGGAGGACCAGCAGAGCCGGCTCAGCGAGGAGATCGAGAAGAAGTGGCAGGAGCTGGAGAAGCTGCCCCTGCGGGACAACAAGCGGGTGCCGCTCACCGCCCTGCTCAACCAGAGCCGAGGCGAGCGCCGCCCGAGCGACAGCCACCACGAGGCCCTGGAGAAGGAGGTGGGCCCCTGCCCGGCCGCGCCCGCACTCATGCACGCACACACGCCCTGGCGCTGCTCTGGCCTAGCTCCCGGGGTGGGGGGTCGCCCGATCTGATGCCCCGCTTCCCGGGAAGGGAGCCCTCCCCAGGCTGGGTCGCGTGTGTATTTTCCGCTTCTGCCCTGAATTTTAAGCCTGGAGGTGGAGAGAGCTCACCAACTGTGCATCTTGTACACCCCGGGCCTTGTCCTTGGTCCTGGGTCCGCTTCACTGGTTACTCAGTCGCCGGGCAACCTGGGATCCCACAGTGCCACAGTGCGGGCCTTTCACTGGTGGCAAAACAGACTTAAGGTGCCCCTGCTACCTCCCCGGTGTGGGCAAGGTCTGTGCCTGCCGTGTGCTGTTCCCAACCTGCTTGGGCTTCTCTGGGCTGAACTCGGCCATCCAGGAAACAGCCCAACCGTCCCCTTGCCTGCACCTCCACACGAGGACTGCGTGTCCCTCTCAGCCCCTGAGCCCTTCCTAAGCACCTGGAAGCTGGAGGCCTGTGGGCCCCTCCCTGCCTCCCACCAGGTCCCTCCTGCTTCTGCGCCTGCTGACCTGGTCTCCTCCCCCATAGGTCCAGTCTCTTCGAGCCCAGCTGGAGGCGTGGCGCCTCCGAGGGGAGACCCCTCAGAATGCATGCAGGTCCCAGGAGGATGGCCACGTCCCCCCAGGCTACATCTCCCAGGTAGGGCGCAGAGTTGTTTTGAGGGGTTGGGGGCAGGTTTCTGGTTGCTGTGTTACCAGAAAACAGCTAATGTTTTAGGAGCCCTTCCTGCCGGTTGGAACCGTGAGGCATTTGACATGCGTCATCTCATTTAATCTCCCCACAGCTGGTGGGCATGATCACTGTGCCCATTTTACAGACAAGGCCACTGAGCACTGAGAGGTTATGTGACTAGCCCGAGGTCACCCGACCTGCAGGTGTCAGAGGTGGGATTTGAGCCTGGGTCCAGCTGACTGCAGAGCCTGTGTGTGAGTCCCCGTGTGACACTCTGCACTTGGACCCCTCCCCTGCATCACCCTGGGGAAGTGGGGGGCCAGTGGCCCTGGGAGTTGTTCCTTAAACACAGGGAAAGCCTGCCTGTGCCTTCCAAGGAGGTCTGCAGGACACGGGCCTCCTTAGTGGCCCTCTGGGAGCACACTGTCCTCCCAGGACAGCGGCTCTCAACTGGGAGGGATTTTTGTCCCCCAGGAAGAGTTGGCTGTGTCTGGAAACTCTTGATTGTCACAACTGGGACGGCTAGCTCTCCAGAAAGTGTGTGTGTGTGTGTGTGTGTGTGTACACATTTATTATAAATATTCCCCATATAAAGGATGTTTTTAGTATATAATTTACAAATAAAAATGATGTGATACTTTTTATGAATTCCATATGGCAGATGGACTTGTCTCAGGGCTCTGGTTACTTCTCTTGCCGTGTCCACGTGTAGTTGTAATGTGTGTGTTGATGGATATATGGTTTATGCTAATGAATAAGAAGACGTACATTGAAACTTGGTAAATGTGAGCAGACTTCTTTCCTGAATCACATAATAGTTTCTACTGAGAATATTCTATTAAGAATGTTTTTCCAATTTTTGGTTCTGTGTGCATTCAAAGCTATCGATGACACATTTCAGAGTCTAACCTGCATCCTTTCCGCATTTCCTCGTCACTGGCTGAAGTCTGTAGTTGATCCAGGAAGCAACAACCTGAGCCCTGACTTGTGATGTGTACGGGTTTCCGGGGTGTAACACTCCCATGTGGCCAGTGCCACGAGTCCAGCCCAAGTCCCTGGCGTCTTGGAGCCAGGGTCTGGGAGGAAACACCGCAGGATAGGTAGCGCTTGCCCCTTCTGGCACCATCAGGCACACCCTCAGGACGTACGCGTGCTAATAAACACGGGAAACAATTAGGGAGTGATACATCCTGAGTGTTTTTGTTTATAATGTAATTAATTTAATGGTGAATATATAAATTTAATTTTTTGAAATGGTCTTGCATCATCAGCTGTCTGCGGTCAGCACGTCACTGCCTGAGGAGAAAAGAACCTGGGGTCCCAGACCCTGGGAGCAGGACCCTTCTGGAAGCTTCCAGTAGGGGAAGGGGGAGGTCACCACCAGGGGGATCCAGGAAGGCTTCCTGAGGGGCGGGCGCTGATGGGAGAGTGGTGTGTGTGTGTGGGGGGGGAGGCCGGCTGCTGCCTCTTGAGGGCCTCCAAGGACAAGCTGAGGAGTTGGCCTGGGGAGGTCTGCCAGGGACAGGGCAGGTCTGGAGAGGGCAGAGCCCAGGCAAGGAGTGGGCCAAGCTGGAGGGCAGTGGGCTGGCGGGCATCGAGAGGGGAGCCTTGTAGGGCTGGGCCCTGGGCAGGCCAAGGGGAGCCCTCGAGGCTGGCTGCTGTGCTAGTTGGGGCCACCCAAGGCCAAATTGAAGGTGACGAGTTCAGTGAGGGAGTGGGGTGGGGGCTGGTGAGGAGGGCTAGCCTGGGGTCCCTGGGTTTGGGGAGGGAGGACTGGGGGTGCAGGGGAACAGGTATTGTCAAAGTGCCTTGGGCAGGGCCCCTCTGCAGGCTGGGCCCTCACCACAGCCTGGGGCGCCTGGAAGACCTCAGAGACCCCCCCCGCCCCCCAGGAAGCTCCAGGTGCTCTGGGTGGGCCCTGGAATCCAGCAACTCCGCCTCACTGTTCTGCCATTAACTAGCTTTTGCTCCATTTGGAAAGTGTTTCTGCCACTAAAATGAAGCTTGAACAGCAGCGTCTGGCTTCTGACTTACAGATAGAGGGGCGTAGCCTGGGCTGTCACAGACCCGTGTGTGCTCCGGAGGCCTGGCACTCTGTCCTCTCAGGATGGGACGGGCGGGGAGCAGGCGGATTGGGTTCAGCTGAAGGAAGGTAGTCGAAACGGTAAAGACTGGGATGGAAGTTGTCACGTGTCCCCCAGGACGAGGTGGCTAGATAGTCAGCGGGCCCTGGAGAGGTGTCATCTGGGGAAGCTTCCCCAGCCTGGTGTCTCAGGCCGAGCGGGCGCCCTTCCTGTGGGGCTCGGCACCCTCGAGGGGCCTGGCTTCATGCGCTGGGACTTCAGCCCCTCCGCTGGCAAAGGAGACCCCTCCAGCCCCGGGCGGTGGTGCCGCAGCCTCTCCTCTCACCTGGTGTTCTTGGAGAGGTGCAGCCAGTACCGGGACCTGGGGCCACTCAGGAAGGTAGGTCGGGCAGCACCTCCCCTTCTAGGAGTCCTCTTCACGGGACTCCTGCGGTTACCCCACACCCTCAGCTGCCCTGCCTGCCTGCCTGCGCTGGCCCTTTAAGAATGCAGGCTTCCCCCAACAGTGCTGACCTTGTCCTCCTGTGCCCAGCGGCCCCTCTGCTCAGGGAGCCTCGTGGGTTGGTCTTGTGAGTTTGAGAGAGGCTGAAGCTAAGCTCAGAGGGTGGGGCTCTGCAGATCCACTTCCTAAGGAATCCATTCTGTGGGGCTCTGAAGCCATGTTCTGTGGTCCTCAGTAGGGGACATTGGGACACAGCAGAGAGGCTCAGAGGGCAGACGTGCCTCTCCCACCAGAACACCTGCATCCAGGAGGCCCTTTCCCTCCCTGCAAGAGGCCTGCTGCAGGGTACAGCGAAGCTCTCCTGGCTCCGAGCAGTGCTGTCCTGCCCGGCTCCTCCCTGCCTTTCTTAATTACTGGAAACATTTTCACAAAGTGATACGAGAGCTGGACGCGGTGGTGCACGCCAGTAATCCCAGCGGCTCCGAGGCTCACGTGGGAGGATCACGAGTTCAAAGCCAGCCTCAGCAATGGCAAGGCACTCAGCAGCCCGTGAGAGCCTGTCTCTAAATAAAGTACAAAATAGGGCTGGGGATGTGGCTCCGCGGTCAAGCACCCCTGAGTTCAGTCCCTGGTACCCCCCAAAAGATGACACAAGAGACATGTTCACCTTTTCAAGACGTTCTCACAGGGGCTGGGGATGGAGCTTGGTGGTCGTAGAGCACCTGCCCGGACCGGGTGAGGCCCTGGCTGTGACCTCCAACAGCACAAAAGTAGTAGTAATGACTGAAACAAATGGAAAGGTTAGAAAAGAGCGTGTCCCTGCCTCTCCCACCCCAGTGACCATCGCACCTCGTCTCCATTTGTCTCCTCTGGCGCAGGTGACCACAGACAGCGCTTGAACAGCACAGGTCTCCGCTGGTTGGAGGCTAGAGCCTGGCGTGGTCTGACCGGGCCACAGGACGGCCTCCCCCTCCGTGGCTCTTGCCACGTCCCACTTCTGGTGGCAGGCCTGTTCTTGGCTCCTGGTCCCTTCCTTCATCTTCAAAGACTGCAGAGGGGAAGTCTGGTCCTTGTCACTTCATGCCCCAGTGACCACTCTTTCCTGGTCACATCTCCTTCGGCTCTTGCTGCTCCCCTGTGATTGCATTTGGCCCCACAGTCCAGCCTGATCTCCTAGTTTGTGGTCAGCTGACCTACATCCCGCACAGCCTTGACTCCTCTTGCCATGGACTGAGACGCAGGCCCAGGGCGTAGGGCGCGGACATCTTGGGGTGCTGTTTTCCTCCCTCCCACAGTCTGTGCCCGTCTCTGTTTTCACACACGCGACTTGGACACAGAGCCAGATGTGCTTTGCCTGTGAGCGGGAGCACTTTGTGTGCATGGTCACGGCCAGCTTTCATGGCCTGGCTCCTGGGACACCTTCCGCAGCAGCTAGAGGGGCATCTGTGTCCTAGCAGCTGCCTGGAGTCCTTCAGAAGGTGCCCTGCCGTCATTTATTTAAGGGTCTCCCGCTGGCATTTAGGTTGTTTCTCGTTTCCATCTGTTGCCAACCTTCCACAAGGAATACCCTTGTCCCCGAGTCTGTACACGTGTGGCTTCCTGTGTGGCTCCCTGTGTGACCACTTCAGAGCTGCCCTGCTAGTCGGGGATAAATTGTTCAAATGCAGTGACTCGGGGCTGGGGCTGGGGCTCAGCTGGGAGAGGGCTGGCCTCGCATGCACAAGGCCCTGGGCTCCATCCCCAGCACCGCAAAAAACAAAACCAAACAAACATTTGTGCAGTGATGCGCAAATCCACCCGCACGTGTCTGTCATGGTGGGCACTCCTAGCCGTGGGCATCGCCAGTCTTTAAAACCCCTGCCCCCGTCTACAGAACCCTGTTTGGTATTACGTCATGAACTTCAGCTCGATTGCTGAGCATCCGCTGTGTGCTGTGCCCTGGCCTGGACCCCAGGGCTCAGAGGTCCCTGTTTGGGGGTGTTACATTCTGGCAGAAGCAGAACCTTTGGAGGCAGGGAAGGGGCTGCCCAGGGACAGAGCTATGAGAGGCATCTTGACTGGGCCACAGGCCAGGCACGTTCCCTAGGGAGAGGACAGAGGACAGGGCATTCCGGGCAGTGGGAACAGCATGAGCTAAAGCTCAGAGTATGGACGTGCCCAGGGTTGTGTTCTCATAGCGGGTTGCTGGGAGGGATGGGCCACAAGGCCAGCTGCGGGACAGGGACTGGAGCCTGCAGGGTTTGAGGCCAGAGAGTGGCAATTGAGGCTTCTGGGTGAGGAGGGTGGCCGGGTGGCAGGTGCAGCTGGTGGGCAGGTCCAGGTCCTGCCGAGGAGCCTGCTGGAGGCTTCTTGCCTGGAAGGGCTGCTGGCCTGGGTAGTGGCGCAACTGGTGACCTCCTGGCCTCTGGCCCACAGGAGGCCTGCGAGCGCAGCCTGGCGGAGATGGAGTCCTCGCACCAGCAGGTGATGGAGCAGCTGCAGCGGCACCATGAGCGCGAGCTGCAGCGGCTGCAGCAGGAGAAGGAGTGGCTGCTGGCCGAGGAGACGGCGGCCACGGCCTCAGGTGAGGACGCGCCAGGCTCGGCCTCCGCACTGAGCCTCCCGATGGAACTGGGGAGGCTCTTAAGAGGCAGGGTTTTGGTGTCGGGCTTGGGAGGGGGCGGCGGCAGAACTGGTTTCTGGCCCTCCTTTGAAAGGCGAGACTGAGACGGGAAGTAACTGCCCGGGGTTTGGGACCGCTTTCCCTCAGGGCCTGTAGCCCCTGGCGTCCACCTCAAGTCACAGGCCCTGTCCTTATAGGTGTGCCCACTCTGTGTTGGCCAGGAGATGTCCTTAGTCCTCACTGCTCCCCAGAGCAGCCCGTTTCCCAGGTGAAGAAGCTGGGCCTCAGAGAGGCTGCCGACTTGTCCCAGAAGGCAGAGCTGGAGGCGGCAGAGCCAGGGTTGAGCCCGAGCACTCTGCTGCAGTCACGCTCTGAGTCCCCCCGGGCCTTCAAGCCAGAAGCAGCAACTGCCCAAGGTGGCGACACCTCCTCCCCCTCCACTGCACACTGCGGTGTGTGCTGGCACCCGGGGGCTTGTGGCCTGGCACCCCATGGGCTTGTGGCCTGGCACCCAGGGCAGAACGTAGGAGCCATAAAAGAGGCCACATGATGCAGAGCTGCAGCCGCCAGCTCTGGACACAGTGCTTCATGTGCAGCCCACGGTCCCTCGTGCTGGGCCTTGGGCTCGGGGGCTTGTGTTTGGGGAGGTCACCCTGTGTGGGCGCCATTGCCACCCTCACCCAGCAGGATCCAGGTGCCCCCTGTGATCCAGCACTAGAGCTCTGCAGTGAGATGGATGGAGTGGCATTTGTGTGACAAAGCAAAGACCATGAACAGCCTCACGTCCCTTCCCATTGGGGACCTCCATCAGAAGAATGATAGGAAACTTTCATTTCTGTGCTCAGAGCTTTTGGATTTGGGAATTGTGGGTAAAATTACAGATGGCGACTTGTTTAAACCTCACAACAACCCTGTGTGGTGTGGAAAAGCACTCGGGCCTTGGGAGCTCATGGTCTGAGAAAAACAGCCAGCTAACGTCCGCTCTGTGCAGGGCCTTGCTCTAAACGCTCTACGCACATCCTCCAGGGACCCTGGAGTGGAGTCGCAGCTGATTCCCTACTTTCCAAATGAGGCACAGAGAGGTTAAGTCACCTGCACAAAGTCACACAGGTTTGTGCAGACTGTCCAGCTCCAGCTCTGTTCCTTGAGCCTGGGCGAGGCAGACGGGTCTTGCTCGAGGGCCCTCGGGGCTCTGCAGGGATAGTCCACCATGTCAGGTCCAACCCCACAGTTACTAACAGGAGGCACCAGTGGTTAGACGTTGTGGTCTCCCTACGAGAGTCCATCAGACAGGATTCGTCTTCCGTGACAGGCTCAGAGAGGTTGAGCACTTGCCCAAAGCCACTCAGGGCGCAGTGGAGGCTGAGAGGAGGCTGGGGTTGGTGCCTCCCCTCTCCAACCTCTCCTCCCCTCTGCCCCGTCCTAGCCATCGAAGCCATGAAGAAGGCCTACCAGGAGGAGCTGAGCCGCGAGCTGAGCAAGACGCGCAGCCTGCAGCAGGGCCCAGACGGCCTCCGGAAGCAGCACCAGTAAGAGGGAACAGCCCTGGAGCCCGTGGGCAGGGTCTGCCTCGGAGCCACGGCCCTACTGCCCGCTTGGCAGAAGACACAAGTGTGCCCCGTGGAGGCTCCTGCCCAGTCTCACACAGGAACAGGGACAGCAGGGCCACAGCCAGCCCAGGCCAGTGCCCGTGACAGCTCTTCTGGCCTGTCTGAGCTGGTCTTGACCACCTCCCTCCTCCTCGCCCCTTTAGTGTCCCCAGGTCTGGGCAGTGTCACCTCCCCGCCACAGAGCACAGTTCTGGAATTGGGGGACTCTAGAGGCTTTCGCCACCACCCTGCAGCCCAGAAAGGCTGTCACCGGCCCCCAGGCCCCAGTGGGCCGAGGGCAAGCGGGAGGGACCAGGAGTTCTGGTCGCCTGCAGCTGGCCGCCCTCCCTCCCCGCAGGTCGGACGTGGAGGCTCTGAAGCGGGAGCTGCAGGTGCTGTCGGAGCGCTACTCGCAGAAGTGCCTGGAGATCGGGGCGCTGACGCGGCAGGCCGAGGAGCGCGAGGACACCCTGCGCCGCTGCCAGCAGGAGGGCCAGGAGCTGCTGCGCCACAACCAGGTGGGCCTGGCCCGGGGGCGGGGCTGCAGGGGGCGGGGCTGCAGGGGCGGGGCGGGGCAGCACCCGCCTGACCGCGCCCCCCTCCAGGAGCTGCACACCCGCCTGTCGGAGGAGATCGACCGGCTGCGCAGCTTCATCGCCTCCCAGGGCACCGGCAACAGCTGCGGGCGCCCCGAGCGGAGCTCCTGTGAGCTGGAGGTGAGGGGCTCCCCGACGCCAGGCACGGTGGCCCCCCGCCGCGGCCGTGCAGAGAGCTCCCTGAGACAGAGGGAGTCACCTGCAGCTGGGGACCCAGCCTCCAGGGTCGGGCCGCCCATCCAGTCCTGTCCCGCTGCTTTCCTGAGCCACAATGGCTCCTCTGTAGGATGGGCCAGCGCCTCCCTTGCTAGGCAACGTAGAGTGGGAAACTGCGTGAGATCCAGGGTCACCCCGTTTTGTAATAGTAACACAGTACACCAGGCCCCCCGCAGCAGGGCACTTTCCTGGGGTCCCCTACTCCTCCCTGCAGGAGCAGGGCTTGAACCAGGCAGGCCGACTCAGTCAGAGCCTTTAAGCTGGGCTGGGCTAGAGCTCGGTTGGTAGAGAGCTGGCTGCACAGGCGCAAGGCCCTGGGTTCAATCCCCAGCACACACACACACACAAAAAAACAGCTTTCAAGCCTCCTGGGCGGCTGGGATTGCAGCCCCCTGGTCAAGTTAGCAGCCCTGCCCCTGGGCCTTGGGGGTAGCCCACCATGGTCACCTAGCTCTGGTTGACTGTAAGTCCACAACACAGCCTCCTTTTGACCTCCTTGCCCCCAACAAGGAAGGCCTGGTGCGGGGTTGGGGCTGCAGGTATGAGATTCCCTTGCACTTGTTGTGGACAGGGCGGGCGGGCGGGAGGGACTCAGGAGAGTCCACCCCGGATGTGGAGCAGGCTCCGAGGCAGCGAGAGGCCCTCTGGGTGCCCTGTGGGCCTGGGTGCTCTGGCCTCCGGCCCTGGCTCACCCCGCTGCCCCGTCCCCAGGTGCTGCTGCGAGTGAAGGAGAATGAGCTCCAGTACCTGAAGAAGGAGGTGCAGTGTCTGCGGGACGAGCTCCAGGGGATGCAGAAGGTGGGCACCGGCCCCTGGGGCGGGGGCACAGGGGTGCTTGGGAGACACTGGGTGCCAGGTACCCTCTAGATCCTCCTCTTCTGTGTGTCCCACAAAGGTGTCATTATCCCAGTTACAGACGGAGAGACTGAGGCCAGGAAAGGGAAGTGACTGGACGAGGCCCACACTTGCTTTCATTTATTCAGCGCTATTATTGAGCGCCTGCTGTGTGCTAGGCACCATGCTGGGTCCTGACATCAAACAAGCAGACCAAGATCCTACCCCTGAGGAGTGTGCACTCTAGTGAGGCCCAGGCCATGTGGCTAGGTGCTGGGGTGCTGGGGTGCCCGCCAGGTCTGCGTCTGTGGCCTGGCTGGCCCACCCTTGGCTACTATGTCCTGCCCCAACACACTCTGCCAGTTTGGGACCAGAAGTGGACGTGTTGGTGGCTCTGGGCGTGTGTGAGCAGCATGGGGCTCACCACACTTGAAGAGCCGGCCCTGGCATTGGCCAGGCTGACCTGGTCCTGGTCCCTCCGCTCACTGCCCTGTGGTCTTAGGCAGAACGTCACCTCTTTAAGCCTCAGTGCCCACCCCAATGGGATGAGATGACAGTAAACCTGTGTCTCAGGTAGAGCTGGGAGGGGGTGGCCCAGGAGGGGCCCTAAAGGGGCCAAAGTACCAAGCTGCAGAGGGCCTGGCCACCTGGCGCTGTGGTCAGCAGCAAGGTGGGCATGTGCCCAGGTCAGGCCCAGGGGACTTCAGGCCCTCATAGCCACCCGCTCCCCCAGGACAAGCGCTTCACCTCCGGAAAGTACCAGGACGTGTACGTGGAGCTGAACCACATCAAGACGCGGTCAGAGCGGGAGATTGAGCAGCTGAAGGAGCACCTGCGCCTGGCCATGGCCGCCCTGCAGGAGAAGGAGTCCACGCGCAACAGCCTGGCGCAGTAGAGTGAGCGGTGGGCTCTGTGGCAGGCAGCCGTGGGCCCAGGCCTGGGGGAGGGAGCTGCACCCGCCCCTGCTGCTGCCGGGCCACCTTCCCCCTCTGTGAACGGTCACCCCCTGGCCACACAGGGTTGTCCCTGGGAGCTCAGAATCAGGCCACGGGCTGCACTGAACTTGTGTGCGTACGTTTCTCCAGGGCCACTCTGTGCCTGACTGGGCCACATGGGGCTAGTGGGGATGCAGGAGTGCCACTTTCAGGCGCTCTGCCCCTCCCCAGAGCCGCAGGCCAGACCTCAGGGGTGCATTGTGCACACGGGGGTCCCCGCACACCAGGGGTTCTCCTCACTCCCCTCCCAGGGCCCGCCTGCCTGATGTCCTCTTCCTCCCAGGCCGCGCAGGCCTCCCAAGGCACACGGGAGGGGCCACTGGCTGTTCTGGAAGCCGGGGTCTGGCGCAGCCGTCAGGAAGGGAGGGGGTGGAAGGACCGACCCCAGGTGGGCCTGCGGCTGGGGCTTCTGGTCCTCAGCACCCCGCCCTTGCCCTCCAGGTCCTCCTGGTCCAGTCCAGCTGCAGACCCTCCAGCCCAAGGGACCAATAGCCCTCTTTCCCTGATGGATGGAGTCAGAAGCCAAGCTTTCTCGCCACCTGTGGGCCGCGCATGCACGTGTACACACACACACACACACACACACACACACACACACACACGTGCACACTCTGCGGATCTGAGCGCGCCCTGCACTGGGTCTTACCTGGCACCTTCTTCAGGATTTTATATGTGAAGAGATTTTTATATAGTTTTTTTCTTGCAGAACACTTTATACTTTTTAAAAAGCAATTCCTGGTGGTGTGTGCCCCGGCACTGAGTCCCCTGTGTCTAGTCCCCTGCTGGGGCGTCGGCTGTGGCCCTGCCCGGGGTCACAGAGGAGGCCCAGGCAGCAGCCAGGCAGGTGGCCCTGGTGAGGAGAGGCGCGAGCCAGCACCCTCCTCCTGCCTACCTCCCACTAACTACTTCCTGCCCTGGGTGGACCCACACCCGGGACTCTGGACAGAGGGACCGAGGGAGCCAGCAGCTGCCCCACGGCCCACCTCCTCCTCCAAGGGGTGCTGGGCATGGAAACGCTGGCGCCACCCATGAGGCGCTTCTCTCCTGCTCTGTGAACCTCCTTAACTTAATAAAACGTTCCAGCAACTCCGGTTCCCTGGGTGGCCAGGCGGGGGGAATGGAGAGTGGGGTTTCTTCAAGTGGCTTCTTCACCGGCGCCCCAGAGCGCCCCACCCTCGTGAGTGGTGGCGTGTGGCTTCCAGGGTGGAGTTGAGAAGCCAGTTCTTCCACGAGGGGAGGATGTGACATCTGAGTGTCCTGCAGGCCCCGCCCTGACCTGCTGGAGCGGTCTGCTCTCCAACACGGTCCCTGGGGAGCCAGCACCCAAGTCTGGCACGCTCTGGGGGAAGGCGCTGCACCCAGGCCTGGCAGAGGGCGGGAGCTGAGGCTGCCGCTGGCCGTGACCCGGGCGGGTCATCCTCTTGGAGCCTCACTTTGCTTTTCCCTGTTCCTGCACGGAGGATTGGCCTAGAGCTCATGAAAGCTCTGAGCAAGGTGGGCATCGGCTGGCCATGGCCATGGTCACACTGGGCTGGGAAGAGGCCCCATTTCTGAGCCATAGAAACACACGTTGGGTTGGATCCCAGAGGCCTGTGGGAGCTCGAGAGCCCTGCTCGGCCGGCAGTTGCTCTTGGAAGCAGCTTTCCAAATGGGAAAGTCAAGGAGGGATTCTAAGCAGAAGGAGCCGCAGGAACAATCCTGAGCGTATCCCTAGTGTGCCCTGGAGGAGAGCGACAGGCGTGCGCTCGCGGAGCACCCGGGAAACGTGCCACCCCCTGCCTGGGATTGGCTCAGAGATGGCAGGAAGGCAGCTCCAGCCTGTGAGGTGCACGGAGGAGTGGGGTGGTATGTGTCCCTTCTTTTTTGGGGGGGGCGGGGGGCGGGTACCAGGGATTGAACTCAGGAACACTTGAGCCACGTCCCCAGCCCTGTTCCCTGCTTCTTAGAGGGGGTACAGGAAAGAAAGCCCCCTGGGCCTCTAACGGCATTGAGTGAAGTCCATGCTGCCGCCCTCTTGTCTCATCCCTGTGCTGGGAATCTGAGAGTAGTCAGGGTCCCCAGGCCACCAAGTCTCCCAGGCTTAGGGCTAACCTGCCTCAGGACCTCTTAGGGGACGAGGAGCATCCCCCACCATTCAGAGAGGAGATGTGCAGCTGGCAGCCCCACGTGGAGACAGACCTGAGCCCCTCCTCTCCCTCCTCATCCCGCCACCTACCCAGGCGGCCCTCACGGCCCTCAGTCCGGCTCGGGACCACCATCTCACCTGGGCGGTGGCGTGTCCTCCCGCCTGGCGTCCTCCCCTCCTCCTCCCCTCCTCCTCCCCAGGGCTCTGGGTGAGTGGGACAGCCCCAGGCCAACGTGGGAAGCAGCTGGCCGGCAGGAGTCAGGAGGCGCCAGGCCATTAGAAGGCCACGCGCCTGCGGCTGGGACCCCCAGGCTAGAAGGACTGACCCTATCAAGTGCTGGCGATGACACGGGCGGGGCTGGGTTTGCACAGCTGGCCGCGTTTCACTCCTGCGCACACAGCAGAGAGGAACCAGCGGGAGCCCGCAGAGTCAGGAGCCAGCGGCTCCATTCAGCCCAAGTCTGGGGACATAACAGTTGTCCATCAACAACAGGATGAACAAGCTGCACACTGTGACACTGTACGCAGTGCAGAGAAGAATCCCCACTGCACACAGGAACACGCTCGATGAGCAGAAGAGCTGCAGAAGACCACGTGTTGCAGGATTCATCTGCAAGATGTCCAAGAGCAGGCCACGCAAAGCGCGGCATGGCGGTGCCCGCCTGAGTTCCAGCCGCTCGGGAGGCTGAGGCCGGAGGATTGCCAGTTCAAGGCCAGACTGGGCAACCTGGCAAGACCCTGTCTCCAAGTGAAATAAAACGGGCCGGGTGTGGCCCCGCTGTGCGGCTCTTGCCTGGCGTCTGGAGGCCTGGGTTGATCCGCGTCACAGAAAACACCACGGCACAAAGCCAACAGTCGGTGCAACAGCCCTCAGAACGGTGGGCGCCTCGGGGCCGGGGGAGGGGCGCTGCCGGCAGATGGCACAGAGGAAGCTTCTGGTGCCAGAAATGTCTGTCTCTCGAGCTGGGTATGTCACAGGCTGTCACAGGGCTGTCACCAGGTGTGCACACTCCAGTTGGGCTGGTGTATAAAATGGCTGCTTGAAACCACAAACAAAACCCAGCCAGGGTTCAGCAGGTGGCCACCTGGAGGGCACCGTCACCTCCGGCACACTGGGAACTGGGCCAGATCCACGTGGTTTGGTGGCTGGTTCCGGACAACAGCCTCAGGCAGCCAGGCCCAGCTCCGGAAAGAGAAGGGTCAGCCCTGCGGCCGCCCCGCCCACCCGCCAGCCTGCTCCGCCTGAGTCACCTCCCGCCCTGGGCCACATTCCTCCCGTGTTAGAGGGGCAGTAATGTCCTGGGGCTGCGCGGTACTCCGCTGCTCCAGTGCTCCCCGGCCTGTAACCAACCCCACGACCTCGCGGCCCAGGAAGCCCTGTGCTCACGGGGTCCCTGGGCGAGCCGCTCTCCTGGGCAGTCCTCCTGGCGTCCTCTTACGGTGGCAATCCAGTGGTGGCAGGGGCTGGAGTCGCCAGGAGCCCCCTCTGGGTGCACATCAAGGTGGCTCCTTCGCTGGGGGTCCGGTGCGTCCACCAGGACACGTCCCTCCCTTTCTCCGAGTGGCCATCCCTGGCCTCCTCGCTGCACAGTGGGACGTGTGGAGCCCCATTTCCTACCTCCAGACCCGCGGGGCCTCCTGTCTCCTCCAGGTCAGGCTTGGCAAAGCTGCAGCACGGCTCTGACCACGTGGTCCAGGCCGGTTCCAGGGGACAGGATGACAGCAGAGTGCAGGGGCAGAGACCTGCAGACGTCCAGAGCCATCTTGCTCCCGCGCCTGTCCCCAGCAGCTCCCCCCAGGTCTCGGGGAGGAGTCTGCACGCCCCCTAACACCTGGTCCCAGGGTCCGTCTTCCCTCTCCTGTCTTCTTCCCTCCGTGTTCTCCCGTGACCCTCTGACCCCTCATCCTTGGCTTTAGTTATGAGGGTGTAGACACCCCCAGCCTCCGTCGTCGCCAGGAAGCCCTATGCCTGGTCCCCATGGCTCCCGCAGCCCCTGCCTGCGGCACATTCTCTCTGTTTCCCCAGACTGTGAGCCCAGGGCCTGATTCACAGGGGACAATTCAGCTGGGGACAATTGTGCCACCTCCTGCACAGGCTGTTCTGGGGATTGAGGGAGAGGAGGAGTGGGAAGTGCTTCTGCAGAGTCCCTGCCGCAGCCAGTGGATAACGTTGCTGTCAGGGCAGGCGGGGGACCAGGAGACAGCCGTGTTGGAAGACCCTGGCTCTGATTCACTTCTGTCTCCAGTGCCCAGCCCAGGGCACGCAGTCTCAGCTGAGTGAGTGTTTGTTGACTGACTGACTGACTGGCTGGAAATGAATGCCACCCAGCCAGGCACAGTTACAGCCTCGGCTCCCCACAAAATGACAAGAGGCTGTGTCTCCCCATAAACCTGCAGGGAAGCCCAGCACCCAGCCTTTGGGGCTGGAGGCTAATGGCAGTTTCCAGAACCTGAAGGGCTGGGCTGTGATCCTGACTCATCCCTGTCATCCTGGCGTCCCATCTGGACTTCAAAAGGGCCCTGTGGGCTCTGAGGCCCAGGGAGGGAGGACTTTACTTTGATGGAGCGTCTGTCACAAGCAAACTTTATCTACAACATTCCTCTTAATGCGCACAACCCTTTGAAGTATCCATGGATCTCCTCGCTTTACAGAGGAGGAAACTGAGGCTCAGAGAGGGCCTCTGACTCACCCAAGTCAACAACTCTGCAGGTCTGGCTCCAGAGCCCAGCTGTCTCCTGGTCCCCCGCCTGCCCTGTCACCACTGGCTGCGGCAGGGACTCTGCAGAAGCACTTCCCACTCCTCCCCCCCCAATCCCCAGAACAGCCTGTGCAGAAGGTGGCACAACTGTCCCCAGTTTACAGGTGAAGATTTGGGCCAAATCACCTGGTCACAGAGCTGAGGTCCAGGGGTGTCAGTCCCCAGCCCAGGTGGCCTCCAGAGCTGACCGGGCTCTTCTCGTTGCAGGCTGCCCAGAGATGAGGGGCCCTGGGCCCCCACTGGGGCTGCGTACGGAGGGAGGTCGGGGGACCTCGGTGGGCCCTGAGCGCGCCACCTCCACACCCACCCGGTTCCTGGAGACGCAGAGTAAGAGCGAGGCCCAGGACGCTGGAGGCCTCTGGACAGGGCAGGAGGGTGGGGCCCCGCGTGGCTGGCCCCGGGATCCCGCACGGTCCCCGCCTGGCCCCCCCTGGAGCTCCCACCACCCCGCGGCGCCCAGCCAGGCCCCCAGGGCCGGCCACCCCCGCAGGCCGCAGCGGCTCCTCCCTGGCTCAGGAGGTTGGCAGGGAGCGGTCTCATGGTTGGTCACTCGCTCTGAGTCCTGGCTTGGCCACCCTCGGGCCCGTGTCCTTGGCTGCATGGTCACATCCTCCCTCGGAGCAGGCTGCGGCAGCGCTGGCCAAGGTCTGAGGGGGCGAGGTGGTGCCCCGGCTTCAGCGGTGGCCCAGCCGCCTCATGAGGGGGTGCCAGGGGCCCTGCAGAGACCCTCGCCTGGGGCCTGGCCTCTGGCTTCTCCTTAGGAAGGCAGGTGCCCCCCGGCCAGGCCCCACCTCAGCCTCCCCTCCCAGCCTCCCCTGTCCCCGGACTCCGGACTCCGGGGCGGGGCGACAGGCCTTCAGAGGACTGGGAACGGAGCAGAGGCGCACGCCGGGCAGCCGCGTCTGTGCAGGAGGAGAATCGTCCCGTGGGGTTTCGCGTGGGTCTGCATGTGCTTAAGACCTCTCCAGAACATTCCACACCCGGGGCCGGCGAACCCGGGGCCAAGGGGCCTGCAACGCGAGACCTGGCGACCGCACGCGGCTGCTTCCTGGGGGAAGGCCGGGCCCGGGACGGGGACCCTTATTTCAGTATCAGGTGCCTGCAGACATTCTGGACTGCTCCAGAGTAAAGTCTAATAGAAGGAAGTTTCGTTTTTCTCCCAGAAGGACCGCGATGGGCCCAGGGTGGAGCCAAGCCCAGGTT